GCATAGGCATAGGCATAGGCGTTGGCATAGGAGTTGAGGGGAGGCATAGGCATAGGCATAGCCATAGGAATTATGTGGGGGCGTAGGAATTCGGGGGGACAACGGACCAATTAGTAAGTTTTGAATTAGAACTATAGGACAAACCTATGTGAAGAATAAACAACCGGATAAGGCACCAACAACATAAACAAATAACAACAAACATTCATGACATACCGGATAAGGCACCATCAGCATAAAACCAACAAGAAAAGCAAACACATTCACGGTTGACAGCGAAAAAAACCACCCAAAACAGACACCAATGCAATGTCTGATATACACCAGTACAAGACTCCAGTGGCACACACCTGCCCAACACAAAGAATGCATACGCCAAGACCAGACACCATTAAACATGACAGAGGGCAGACCTCAAGACCACACAACAAGAGCAGCCATCAATCACATACACCCAGGGCAACATCTAAAGACATGCGCTACGAAAGTGTATCTGGATACCAGAAAGCAACTTACGGAAGCTTTCGGTCGTCTCCATGGCGCCCAATAGCGTGGCCGGCGCATCCAGCCCAGCGCATGCCCACAGGATGCACCAAGCCTTAGGTTGGGCACGTCCTCCTGCAGGCGGATTCTGGAAGGAAAATAGGAGTCAAAAAAGCAAGAATAGTCAAGAAGAACACGACAAATCGTCACCAGACAACTTTTAAACTGTTCTGGAATATTCCTCCTGGCCAGGGACATGTCCGCCTGAAACCAAACCCCTACCTGTCTGTGCCCTCGCCTACCGCGCAGAAAGCGCAGGCCGAGACCAAAGGCTATACCGGCGGGGCCTTCCAGGGGACGCCCACCGCCCCAGACCCAGGCGCTGCAGCAGCCTCCTGACGGCTAATGCTTCGTCGTTCTCGGCCTCCGGAGCCCGTCGCCCAGCCCTGGGGACCGTCAAGAGACGACGCAGGCGGCCCTGGGGAGAAGTCGAGGGCTCCGGGGGCCGACGATGTCACGACGCCACTGCGGGGAAGGGACGGGGAGGCCCCCCTTCGTGCCCCGCCCCCTCGCACCCCCGCTCCCCTCCTCTCCTCTCCTGGGGGCCAGCCCACCTCAAGCGGGGTGGCGGATCCGCGCGGCAGCGCAGATGGATATCTTCGGTACGAGGCCGATGCGATGGAGGAAGCCGACCACAGCAGTGAGGGGTAGCCAGAAGTTCTTCTCCTGCTCGAGGAGCGGAAACTGCCGGGCGTTGATGCTGTCGTCCGCGTGGTGGGAGACAACGAAGCCGGCGGCCTCCACGGCAGCCTTGAAGACAGCGGGGTGACTTGTCTCGACACCCCCGAGGACAGGCTCGTACAATTTCTTTAGCTCCACGTGCCTTGCAACGCTGCCATTGTACTCCGTGCCAAGAACATAATCCTCGAAGGCCACCTTGCCCCCAGGCTTGACCACGCGCATCACCTCCTTGAAGAACGCGGTAAGGTTGGTAGAGTAGCTCAGGACCTGGACGTAGTAGACAGCGTCGAAGTGGTTGTCCGGAAATGGAAGTGGATCGTTGTAGTTGGCCTCCTTGAAATCCACCAATTTCCCTAGCAGACCCGTGTCCCTGGCGTACGCCCTGGCGAGATTGATTTGCTCCTGGTCCACGTTAATGCCAGTCACGTGCGCGCCTGTGTAAGATGCGACGTGGTGTGCGATCCGACCGCGGCCGCAACCGATGTCCAGCGCCTTGTCTCCAGGGCCGATGCCCAACCAGTCTGCCATTTTCTTCTCATATATCTTCTGATTCTCGTAGACGTCCCTCTGAGCGTCGTAGAAGGGTGGCAGATACATCTTCTCGAAATTCCCAATGGCGCACAAATGGTTCAGCACGCTGTAGTAGTCGGTCAGCAGCCCGACCTCGTCGGGGTCGCCCACGAACTGGTCCTTCTCGAACATCCTGTACGACAGCAAGAACCTCTCCAGCTTCGACTCAGGCATGGATGCGATCGCTTTCACCGCAACTAGTGACGTCGTGAATCTGTACCAAGCATCTTCTCGTAAGGACAGCTTGGAACCAACAAAATATGCGACCACTGCACAAAACAGCGCGGCCGCGTTCCTGGAAAAACTCATCCCGCTTCAGCAAGCCGACCGCAGACTCCACCAGTCTCTCGAAGACTTGCGTCAGACGCTTGGGCCAAACAATAGCCACGGCTGGCTTTTGTCGCCTACGGAACAGTCAAGCATCTTCGGGCAAGGTTGGGGGCGAGGCCTCATCCCCCGGAAAAGCGTGTCGGGGTCAAAACCCCCTGCTCCGACTTCCCTGTCCGTTAAGGAGCACTTGTTGTTTTTCGCGATAGCGGCCGTTACGAGCCCCGGCCGCCCCCACCCCCCGCAGGTAACGTCACGATCCGAGCTGACGTCCGAGTTGTCGGTGGCTATTCCTAGGCCACCGACAACTCGGACGTCAGCTCGGATCGTGACGTTACCTGCGGGGGGTGGGGGCGGCCGGGGCTCGTAACGGCCGCTATCGCGAAAAACAACAAGTGCTCCTTAACGGACAGGGAAGTCGGAGCAGGGGGTTTTGACCCCGACACGCTTTTCCGGGGGATGAGGCCTCGCCCCCAACCTTGCCCGAAGATGCTTGACTGTTCCGTAGGCGACAAAAGCCAGCCGTGGCTATTGTTTGGCCCAAGCGTCTGACGCAAGTCTTCGAGAGACTGGTGGAGTCTGCGGTCGGCTTGCTGAAGCGGGATGAGTTTTTCCAGGAACGCGGCCGCGCTGTTTTGTGCAGTGGTCGCATATTTTGTTGGTTCCAAGCTGTCCTTACGAGAAGATGCTTGGTACAGATTCACGACGTCACTAGTTGCGGTGAAAGCGATCGCATCCATGCCTGAGTCGAAGCTGGAGAGGTTCTTGCTGTCGTACAGGATGTTCGAGAAGGACCAGTTCGTGGGCGACCCCGACGAGGTCGGGCTGCTGACCGACTACTACAGCGTGCTGAACCATTTGTGCGCCATTGGGAATTTCGAGAAGATGTATCTGCCACCCTTCTACGACGCTCAGAGGGACGTCTACGAGAATCAGAAGATATATGAGAAGAAAATGGCAGACTGGTTGGGCATCGGCCCTGGAGACAAGGCGCTGGACATCGGTTGCGGCCGCGGTCGGATCGCACACCACGTCGCATCTTACACAGGCGCGCACGTGACTGGCATTAACGTGGACCAGGAGCAAATCAATCTCGCCAGGGCGTACGCCAGGGACACGGGTCTGCTAGGGAAATTGGTGGATTTCAAGGAGGCCAACTACAACGATCCACTTCCATTTCCGGACAACCACTTCGACGCTGTCTACTACGTCCAGGTCCTGAGCTACTCTACCAACCTTACCGCGTTCTTCAAGGAGGTGATGCGCGTGGTCAAGCCTGGGGGCAAGGTGGCCTTCGAGGATTATGTTCTTGGCACGGAGTACAATGGCAGCGTTGCAAGGCACGTGGAGCTAAAGAAATTGTACGAGCCTGTCCTCGGGGGTGTCGAGACAAGTCACCCCGCTGTCTTCAAGGCTGCCGTGGAGGCCGCCGGCTTCGTTGTCTCCCACCACGCGGACGACAGCATCAACGCCCGGCAGTTTCCGCTCCTCGAGCAGGAGAAGAACTTCTGGCTACCCCTCACTGCTGTGGTCGGCTTCCTCCATCGCATCGGCCTCGTACCGAAGATATCCATCTGCGCTGCCGCGCGGATCCGCCACCCCGCTTGAGGTGGGCTGGCCCCCAGGAGAGGAGAGGAGGGGAGCGGGGGTGCGAGGGGGCGGGGCACGAAGGGGGGCCTCCCCGTCCCTTCCCCGCAGTGGCGTCGTGACATCGTCGGCCCCCGGAGCCCTCGACTTCTCCCCAGGGCCGCCTGCGTCGTCTCTTGACGGTCCCCAGGGCTGGGCGACGGGCTCCGGAGGCCGAGAACGACGAAGCATTAGCCGTCAGGAGGCTGCTGCAGCGCCTGGGTCTGGGGCGGTGGGCGTCCCCTGGAAGGCCCCGCCGGTATAGCCTTTGGTCTCGGCCTGCGCTTTCTGCGCGGTAGGCGAGGGCACAGACAGGTAGGGGTTTGGTTTCAGGCGGACATGTCCCTGGCCAGGAGGAATATTCCAGAACAGTTTAAAAGTTGTCTGGTGACGATTTGTCGTGTTCTTCTTGACTATTCTTGCTTTTTTGACTCCTATTTTCCTTCCAGAATCCGCCTGCAGGAGGACGTGCCCAACCTAAGGCTTGGTGCATCCTGTGGGCATGCGCTGGGCTGGATGCGCCGGCCACGCTATTGGGCGCCATGGAGACGACCGAAAGCTTCCGTAAGTTGCTTTCTGGTATCCAGATACACTTTCGTAGCGCATGTCTTTAGATGTTGCCCTGGGTGTATGTGATTGATGGCTGCTCTTGTTGTGTGGTCTTGAGGTCTGCCCTCTGTCATGTTTAATGGTGTCTGGTCTTGGCGTATGCATTCTTTGTGTTGGGCAGGTGTGTGCCACTGGAGTCTTGTACTGGTGTATATCAGACATTGCATTGGTGTCTGTTTTGGGTGGTTTTTTTCGCTGTCAACCGTGAATGTGTTTGCTTTTCTTGTTGGTTTTATGCTGATGGTGCCTTATCCGGTATGTCATGAATGTTTGTTGTTATTTGTTTATGTTGTTGGTGCCTTATCCGGTTGTTTATTCTTCACATAGGTTTGTCCTATAGTTCTAATTCAAAACTTACTAATTGGTCCGTTGTCCCCCCGAATTCCTACGCCCCCACATAATTCCTATGGCTATGCCTATGCCTATGCCTCCCCTCAACTCCTATGCCTACGCCTATGCCTATGCCTATGCCTATGCACCACCTCTGAGCGCTCCTATGCCTGTGCCTATGCTTATGTCTATGTTTCCAATGCTTGCTTGCTTGATTGCTTGCGCCCTTGCTTGCTTGCTTGCTTGCGCGCTTGCACACTTGCATGCTTGCTTGCTTGCGCGCTTGCTTGCTTGCGCGCTTGCTTGCACGCTTGCTTGCTTGCTGAGTTGCGATTTCCAAGCATGCTTGATTCACCAGATTTCTTGATTTGAGTCGTCTAATCTATTTGGGGTCAGCGCTGGCTGATATTTTCTGGCGTGTGATATTGATACCTGTTTTTGGTGTTGTTTCTAGTTGCTTGTTCTTTATGTTCGTGGTGTTCTTGATGTCCGATCTTGGTATACACATCGTGTCTGTGCTTCCGACGTCTGGCCTGGGCGTCTGGTGCTGATGCACGTCATTAGTGGATGTTCTTGGTGACGGTTCATGATGTCGTTCTCTTTGGTCGACCAGTGGGTATAATTGATTCGTGTTCGAGCGTGTGTTATATGGAAATCATGGGTGTATATTCTCGGTTGCAATTATTGATGTTATTTTTGGTGGGGCACCACTTAGGTATAGTCTATTGTATTGATGCAGATTATGGGCGTGTGTTCTTGAATCATGTTATGAGAGTATGCTCTTGGCGAAGATCAGTACTGTATGTTAGTGTCATACTTTCTGTGTGCAGGTTGTTCTGGGCGTCTGTCAGTGAAGTACGTTATGGGTGCATCTTCTTTGTGAGGATAATTCGTTCGCCTGCTAATTACTGTTGTATGCTATTGGGGGTGTGCTACTGTTGCATGTCATCGACGGCTGTGACTTATGTACTTTATTGGAATATGGCCCCGGTGAGGGATATGGATGTTATTTCCTATTGTTTAGTATGTGTAGTTGTTGATGCATGTTCTGGGGTCTGTTATTGATGTATGTCATTGGTGCATGCCCATGGTGACGGTGGTTGATGTATGATGTCGTTTGTTATTGGTGTGTGCGTGTGCTATCGAATCATGTTCGTGATGCTGGCAACTGGTCCAGTGTTGTTGGTGAATGTTATCGATGTGTTTCCTGGATTGTTGTTTTTGATGCCTGCTCTTGATCTCTTTTCTTTGTGCATCATCATAGTGTATGTCTGATGTTGGTGCACCTTCTTAGTACATGATCGTTATGCGTGTTCTAGCTGTCTGTTAGCTGTCTGTGGACGGCGTGACGTCGTGTCGCCTGGACGGCGTGACTCCGTGACGCCTTCCTGATACGCCTGTGCCATCTGTTTCGTATAACTATATCGTCCTTTGACTCTCGGGAAGGTTTGGGGCCTGGCGGCTGCGGTATGCAGGGCGGGCGAGGCGCGACGGGATACCCAGGGACCACCCGGAATCTTGGGGGCTGGCGGCCTGGGCATGCAGGGCGGGCGAGAGCAGGGTCGGGACATTTTCTCTCTTAAAATCTTACAGCCCCAACCTGTGAGGTGGGGAACAACGCCATTGCGAGTTCTGGCTGTCTTCCAGGACTGCCGCCTGCGGAAGTACCCCGTGCTAGGGAACAAGTTGGATATTCGTTTTGGGGCGTGAGTTGAGCGAGTGGCTCCGTGAAGGTCCCCAGAAAGAGAATCCGAAAGGAAGACAACGACAACAACCTGAAGGAAGGCACAGCAGAAAACGCGGCCGCCACAGGCGCGGCCAGCGGATACTTCGACGTGATGGAGCGCATGACCGCCGGAACCGACGCCCTCATCGAGGCGGACCGGGACGGGCTGGTCTCGTGTGGCTACGTGACGCTGGCCCAGAAGCCCTCCGGCGCCCGGTGAGCGCCTTGTTGAAGGGCGTGCCGCGGGCGGCCGTGCGTCGTACGGTCGCCCCAGCGGCGAGCCGAGAGCCCAGAGACCTGGCGTCTGGAAAACATCGAGAGGGAGGTTCTCATAGTTCGGCCTCTCCGGGCCCTTACCTGGCCTCGGGACCGTCAGAAACGATTCGGGACGAGAAACAGATCCCGGGGAAGTAGTCGAGAGGCTGGGGGCCCGTGCCTCGAAAAAATCGAGATCGACGCCGAATGTCTGGGATAGGGTCAGCAGCGGCCAGGAGCGTGCCCAGTCTCGCGTCGGCCTGGCATGGGTTGGGAGACTCGGAGGAGGGCCAGTCGATACACCGGCTGGCCTCCCTGGCGCGTTCCGTCCTTGCTGGGACTTCTGAGGAGGCTTCTCGTCGCCACGACAGGATCCGCCTCGACGAGCGGGCCAGGAGGCACCCCAGGGAGGGGTCCAGGGACCGATCTTGAACGGGTTCCCGGGCCGGGCGCGGAAGCCGCCGTGGTCCGTGGTCTCGGTCGGCCCTCCTCCGAGGGACGGAGCGGAGGGGTCAGAGTCAGAGGCCTGGATGTTGGCAGCAACACCAGTATGAGCAGGTGCCGCGACTTCCACCAGGGGGAGTTCATCTGGCTCTCGGTGATGGTGGTCATGTTCGGGCCTCTCCGGTGGCCGACGCCAGCACCAAGATCCAGAGCCATCCTTCTTTGGTGGAGGTAGACCCCTGTGTTTTGGTGTTGGTGTTCTTCAGGGCTCCAAGGGGGGGCCCAGGCTTCAGCGTCACCAGCAAATCGTGAAGACTTGTCTTTCTTGCAGCCTCTGGGGGCCCGTTCGGCGCCCGCGTGCCAGTCAAAAAGCAGCCTGCGACAAAGGTTGTACCGGGGATGGTGTCGGAAGGTCCACGGGCCCACATCACGGGAACGTTGTGACGACGGATATCTGCGGGGGGGGGGGGGGGAAACTCGAGGTGGAGGGAGACAAAGGCGGAGAAGGCGGAGGAGGTCGAGAGGAGAGGGGGGAGGGGGAGTTGGGGGTAATGATAAGCAGCAGCCGCAGCAGAGGAGGACGGGTGAGGAGCTTGGGGATGGCGTGGGCCTGTTTTGCACCGAGCTCTGCGCAGCCGACTACTGATGGGACACGCATGTCCGCTCGCTGAGTCTTCCACCTGGCCTCAGTGCCACCCCTCCGCTCAGCAGCATTGCCACTTTCCTCCTGGCGACATCCCCTCCACTCTGCTGCCCGGCGTAATTCGAGCTTTTGGGTATGACTGCATGCCAGGTTGGCCATTCAGATGCGAGTGCGCGGCCCACTGGCAGTCAGCTTGCCGGTGGCCCTCGCTGCACACGTCTCGGTCTGCTCGAGGGAGCGGCAATCGAGCCCGGACCTGTGTGGGCCGCCAGCGGGCTGCCGGAGCGGCGCTACCGTGCTCTGTGCCGAGCTCTGGCAGTGGCTTCAGTTGCATGTGCGTCTGTCGTCTGTAAGACGAGAGGTTCACCTTATCCGAGCACCAGGTCAGCGGTGTGCAACTCTGCGTGTAGCATGTCTGGAGCACATGCACCTCTCGGTGCCAAAGCGGCTCTGGCAGGAACCAAAACGAGGTCGCAGTCCCAGAAGCAGTACTCCGACCTCTTCTGATCCCCCTAGGAGTCGGACACGAGGAGTTGACCTGGCAGCGGGAGGATCGTCCGATGCGACATGTCTTCTTACGGGTGTCGTGATTTAGTTGTCTGTTTATTTGTATTCGCGTATTGTTTAAGACAGTTGCTAGCCAGCGTGGACATTAAACATTGTGTTTCAAGCAGCCACTATGGTGCAAACTATGTGATGCAGTTAAGACGGTGCAGTCGATGTGGTGCCATATATGTCGAGCAATCTAGTTGGCGCAATCAATGTTGGGCTTGTTATGCAATTTGAAATATATGTTGTGCAGTCTATGTTGTGCAATATATGTAGTACAATCTATGTGGCGCAATGCATTTAGACCATTATGTGTGGTGCAATGTATGTTGTGCGATATGACGGAGGCAAGCGATAAAAAGTACACCCCCCTGTCCCTGGGTGCCCTCATTCTTTTTGTGTAGGGTAGACGAATAGAAATCCGAGGGGCCGAAACTGTTTTCTTGATCGTCCCGCCAGGTGTTGTTGGGCGTCGCGTGAACACTGATTTTGTAATCGTCCCTCCCCCGCCGGCCCCCCGCCTCGCAGCAGTTTCGGGGAATCCATCGGTTCCCTTGGGATTCATGTGTTGCTGTTGGGGAAGGATATATTTTTATGATTGGTGTTATGTTTGCGATTTGTACGACTAGTACGACTACTACTACTTCTACTACTTTTACTACTACTGCTTACTATTATTATTACTACTACTCTTACTACTACTACTACTACTACTACTACTACTACTACTACTACTATTACTACTACTACTACTACTACTACTACTACTACTACTACTACTACTACGGCTACTATGAGTATTATTACTACTGCTGCTGCTACTACTACTACTACTACTACTACGAGTACTATTACTACTACTACTACTACTGCTACTACGGCTGCTACTACTACTACTACTGCTACTACTACTACTACGACGACGACTACTACTACGAAGTTTATTATCACTACTACTTCGACTACTACTACGACTACGACTACGACTACTACTACTACTACTGCTGCTACTACTACCACTACTACTACTACTACTACTACTACTACTACTACGATTACTACTATTATTATCACTATTACTACTACTACTACTACTACTACTACTACTACTACTACTACTACTACTACTACGACTACGAGTACTACTACTACTCAGATTGGTACTGCTACTACTACTACTACCACTACTACTACTACTACTACTACTACTACTACTACTACTACTACTACTACTACTACGACGGCGACGACGACGACGACTACTACTAGTACTACTACTCGTACTACTACTAGTACTACTACTAATCTACTACTGCTACTACGACGACTACAACTACCACTACTACTACTACTACTACTGCTGCTGCTGTGACTATTGCAACTACTACGGCTACTCATATTAGTACTATTCCTACTACTACTACTACTGCTACTACTACTACCATTGTTGGTACTACTACGACCACCACTACCACTACTACTACTACTACTACTACTACTACTACTACTACTACTACTAGTGCTACTACTACTACTACTACTACTACTACTTCTTCTTCTACTACTACACTACTACTATCAGTAGTATTGCTACTACTACTGCTATTGCTGCTACCACTACCACTACTACTACTACTACTACTACTACTACTACTACTACTACTTCGGCTACTACTTCGACTACTACTACGACTACTACTACTACTACTACTACGACTACTACTACTACTGCTGCTACTACTACTACTATTGCTACTACTACTACTACTACTACTACTACTGCTGCTACTACTACTACTATGACTACTACTACCACTACTGCAACTACTACTGCTTCTACTACTACGACTCTCATTCTTATTACTAATAATACGATTTCTATTCCCATGATTGCTACGACTACGGCCACGACTTCGATTATTATTTGAGTTGGGCGTCATCGAATCACTTGGTATATTGAACATGGTTTATGGTAATAATGCTGGTTTTGACCAGGGTTCGGAATCGAAGCCCGACCAACAATCATATTACTATGCCAGATTGATGCAGTTCGGTTTCTCTGGATCCTTATCGATTCCGCATGATTCTTACTCATTCCCGCTAATCCCCATTAAATTGCAGCTATTCCTATTGTTTCTTTTTGAATCCTCATTAATTCCTTGCTACTCCAATTTTGTTTTGATGTTTCTGATTGATCCCGGTCGCATCAAATCAAGTCAGACCGATCCCTCACGGTATTCATTGATGTCGATTGGTCCCGACCAATTCTTATTGGCTCCGATTGATTCCCATGTGTCCCGATTGATTCCTAACTAGTTCGCGCTGCTTCCGAGTGATTCCTGTTGGCTCCTATGGGTTCCTATGGATTCCGACGGGTCCCCATTGTTTCCTATGGGTTCTCATCGATTCCTTTGGATGCCTATCGGTGCCGATTGGTTCTAAATGTTTCTTCTGGATTCCCCAGGTTTTCCCAGCATTCCAGGCCTTGCGCCTGCTCCGTCGCGTCCTACCGTTGATGAGACAGCATTGCATGGGGGGAGGGGGGGGGAGGGGGGCGCGCCGCGGCCCCTCTTGAGCCTCTCCACGTCCGAGCAGAAGCAGGCCAGCATTGCAGGGCGGCGCGCCGCGCCCCCGCCGTTGCCTCGCCAAGTCCTAGCAGGAGTAGGCCAGCATTGCAGGGCGGGGCGGAGGGCGCGCTGCGCCCTCCTCTGCCTGCCTCGTCGCGCGTCGCGCAGGCCCCGCTGACGCGCGGGCACATCAGTGCGAGTCGGTGGCTCCGGCGGGCGCGGTGTCATTGCGACGTCGGCAACGGCAGACACGATGATGACTGTAGCGGTGCTGGTGACGACGGTGACGATGACAACGGCAAGGCCAATGACGGCGCAGATGCTGATCATGCCGATGACGATGATGGTGTCCACGCGTCGGTGAACAAGGTTTTTGACATATTTCGACATGCGCACGCGGCCGACGGTCCCGGGTTGCCCACGTGGATTTATTTGACAGGGATCGTGCCCCCTCCAGCGCGCGCAAAACGTTCGAATGATTGCGACACGCGCGCGCGACAGGCCCGTTTGTTTGCATTGATGGAAATGTTGGAAATATGGGGTCTCTGGAATTCGCAAGAGCGTGCGCGCATTTTCTGTCCAACCGTGATGCCGAACCGTTGTTTTCGTTGCTATGTTTCTGGGGACCTCGACCTTGAAATCCTTGCGGGACATTTTTGTGTTTTTGGTTGGTTCTAGCATGCGCACGACGACGCGCGCGTGTGCGGTTTGTCAAATGTTTCAGAAGGGTTCTTGCAGACGGATGATGTGATGATGAACGAATGCGCGCGCGTAGCGTTATTTGACGAGGATGACGTGGGGAGGACACAGTTTGGTTGGAATGGTATGCGTTCGCATTCAAAATGCACGATGGGCCATGATCGCATGTAAACTGCACATCCCCATGGGGGACGGACACCGTCTGCCTCGGGAGGGCGGTGGATCCGAATTCGTTGTTCGAAAAGAAAAACTAAGTGGTGCGCCGTATATGTTGTGCAGTCCATGGGGTGTGCAATCTATGTGGGTGGCGACGAGGTGGCGACGCGGTGGCGACGGCGGCAACATAGCCGCTAGACCGCCAATCCGGCCCAGACGACAGGCGGCGATGAAGCGGGGACGGGGCGGCGACTGGGCGGCGACGGCGACAACATGGCCATCAGACCGCCACACCGGCCGAGACGACGGGCGGCGGCGAGGCGGTGACGGGGCGGCGACGGCGGCAGCATAGCCGTCAGGCCGCCACAACGGCCCACACGACGGGCGGCGACGAGGCGGCAACGGTGCGGCGACGTAAGCAACATAGCCGCCAGACCGCCACACCAACCCAACCCATAAGTAAAATGTAGGAACCCCTAAATGCAACCACAGTTTGAGGAACCACCTGCGTGCTTGGAGCACCACTGTTTTTTTTTTGTTTTCCGTTTGGCGCCACCATTCACGTGCGAATTCCCATTCACTTTCCATATGGAAGAAGCCACGTTCTCTTTCTTTCGGCGTCTGCAACCCCCAGGAGCATCTCCCAGAACCCGCCGCGCCCCCCCCCAGAGTGGTGCAAGCAAGGCCCCCACCATCCGGCCGGATCGGAAGGACTCCGCCGTGCCACCTGGGTGTGCGGCTCACCTCCGACGCCGTGCCCTGGGCAGGGCAGCTGGAAGTGAGCTGCGCATCGAGACCGCTCCCCCGAGGGCGCACGATGGTAATTCGGCGGGGGGCCGGGGCCCACGAGGGAGGGCCCACGAGGGACGCGCACGATGGAGGCGGGGCGCCCCCGCCGCCACCGTGCGCTCGCTGCCGCGCGCAGCGGGCGGCGCCCGCGCGTGCGCGGCTCCGTGCGTGTGCGAAGAGGCAACTTCTCTGGGCTCAGAGGGGACACCCGCAGAGGGGACACCCGCGCGCCGCGCTCGAGGCGCTCGGCGTCCGCGTGGGCGGCATCCGCAAGCCGCGCCTCGGCAACGCCACGCTGCTGGTGGAGCTGCGCGACAAGGCCAGCCTCGGCCGCCTCTTGGCGGGCCCCTGGCCGCGGGCGGGCTGCACACGTCCGCCGTGGTCGCGCGTGTCGGTACTAGTACGATCGAAATCCGCACGGAAAGAATGGGTACGAAGACCCACGGCAGTGGAAAGACAGCGACATGGCGCTTGAGCCTGTCTGAGGCGTGGTTCCCGCGGCCCCCGTCTGGTTTTAGAACCCCCCGCTGGGGCGGTGGCCCTAGCAGGGCCTTCGTGGCCAGCCAACTTGGAAACCAATATGACACAGCACCGCCATTTCGGGAACCACGGCTGATGTCGCTGATCGGGATTCGCGCAGCAAGTCGCTGTTTTGCCACACAGCAGGTCTTGTTCATTTTGGACAGGACTTGCTGTCGATGCCGCCGCGGACAGTGGTCCAGTTTGAAACGAAAGGTCCTTGGCCCGACAGTAGCCGCTTCCGGTGTTGGACAACATTTGCATTCGGGCATCGAACCATTGTTTCTCTTACCCATTTCGGGCGTGGCAACCGTGGCGCCGTGGGCGTCGGCGGCAGTGCCGGCTGGGCCCCGCCATTTCTGCGACAATCATTGAACCTTACCACTGCGGGTCCTATCGACGCTGGGGTATCGGACACCCCTGCTGGGGTCCACCTGTCTGCAGACATCC